GACCATCCTCCTCCGACCATCCTCCTCCGACCATCCTCCTCCGACCATCCTCCTCTGGCCATCCTCTTCCGACCATCCTCCTCCACTCCGCCCACTAGCTTTGCCTCAATACGCCCCTTCCACATCCGCCTGTCTTCTTCATATCTCTTTCATAACCTGTTCGCACCCGTCTGACCATCGGCTGCGTACCACCCTTTCTGGCTTCTCCCTTCCTCTGCCGCATTGGCTATATGTGAATCGCGGACCAAATAATCTCTTCATAATTTCTTGCAAAACCTACTTTCTAATCCTACATTAAATTGGAGACAAAACCAACCCAGACAAGAAAAAGGACTGATTGAACAGGTAATCGCGTTAAGAGCTTTCCCTTTTGCATTATTGGCAATCTTCTAGACTCGCGAAAGGGCTAGAAGAGTGTACAAATTTTAAGTCCAGCGTTATAGACGATTACCTGAGAAAAAGGAAGAATATAAAAATGGCAAGATAAGCAGAATATATTCAATCGACGAATGCTTTAATTGAATGAAAAGCACATTAAATTAAACCATATTTCGAAAGAACAATGTCAGTCCTAAATCTGAAAAATTGGGAGGGGAGTTTGTTTTTTTAAAATAATGGATTTACAAATTCGAAATTACCTGTATTCACACTCCAAACATTCTGACGACACTGTCACCACATTTTCTGTGGCCTCACATACTGCTACCACACTTCGCCTATTGCCATCACCCTTCAACACCTGCCCTCTCTGCCACCATTCGCACTCTCCGTATTCGGTCACCTGTGTCATCAGCTGACGCCTCTGCCACCACCCGCCTCCCACCTGCCACCTCTACTCGCCTTCCCCACATTCTGACGACATTGTCACCACTCGCGCTCTCCATATTCTGACGCCTCTTCTACCAGCTGTCTTCGTGTCGCCTCTGCCATCATCCGCCCCTCCCCACCTGCCAGCTCGACCGTTACTCGCCCTCCCCACATTCTGACTTCAGTCATTTTCGTCCCACCCACTGCCTTTACCATCACCCTTCGACACCTTCCTCCTCTGTCACCTCTCGTGCTCTCCATATTCTGACGCATCTGCCATCAGCCGTCTTCGTGTCGCCTCTGCCATCGCCCGTCCCTCCCCACACCTACCACTTCGACCGTAACTCGCCCTCCCCACATTCTGACGTCATAGTCATTTTCGTCCCACCCATTGCCTCCACCATCACCCTTCGATATCTGCCACCAATCGCGCTCTCCGTAGTCTGACGGTCCTGCCATTACCCGCCTCCCCCTCGACTGACGCCTCTGTCATAATCCCCCTCCCGCCTCTGCCTTCTCCACCTCGTCGTCACCGCACGGCGTCCGGCGCTGGACCGGCTCTCCGATCGAGGCGAGGCGAGGAGCGTTCTCTTGCTCCCTATCCAGACCGCCAGTTCGCATCCCGATTAGACCGGCCTAGCGCAGCGAGATTTACGGCGTAAATTTTCCACCCGTCACTTGTTATTCCTGCTTACCTCGCCGGCAACTGCGCTCAACAGCAACAGACTGCGATGCTGGCGCTTCGCATGTGCGCATTATTAGACTTACGGTTTCGTTCCTTCTATTCAACAGGCGATTGCGTAAAACAGTCATGGATGAAATGTATTTCTTTAATTTACTATTGCAAGAGTACCACGGCTTCTTAGGACATTTGTTTTCGCATTACCCTTGAATGTTTACAAATTTTCGAGTTTTTCATACTATTTGTATTTTTGCTGTCCTTTTTATTGTATGGCTTGTTGTAATGTAAAGGATATTATCAATAATAAACACACAGAACCCATTTTATGGAGTGATTCTTTGCACTTTATTATTGTTTTATATTGCAAATATTCGAATGGACTCCTGAGTTGAACTTCACCTTAGGAATGGAGAGATAACATCAGGTTGGAATTCGGTAACACAAGTATCACGATGATGGAACATTTAATTTCCCTTTTTACTAAATTTTCACTCTTATTTCTGCTTATTCTGAAGATATGTATTAGTGCTGTAATACATATTCTGCTTTCTTTCAAAATTCTCACCATCTACTTGCAATAAGCAAGCACCGGGTCATCTCTCTTTTTGCTTCATTTTTGTCACAGCATCAGTCGTCGTACCCACAGTTTTGTGGCAATCCTATTTCCACAAAATTATGGATACTCATCAGCTGCCGAACCACTTGATAAGAAACCAAACTACTTGATAAGGAAATGAATAATAAAATTGAAATAAACTAGTTGATGTAGTAGCAACAACTACTTATCTATTGGACAGCACATCAAAAACACAAAGCAATTTTTTACATAATTTCCTATTGCGATAAAGCTCAGTTTGGGTTTGTACAACATTTCATACTCGCAGTACTGCCCGCGCAATTTTACTTCTTGCGAAATGAGCAACATGGGAAGAGAGGTCATTTAGTGGTTGTGGAAGTTCTATGGTTTTCTCACAATATCACCCCGTTACCGAAATTATTCTTACAATCAATTTCGTTCTGTCTTGGACAGTGAACATCTGTCACACCTTAATTCGGGCACCTCCAAGGAACCTAACATGACTAACATACGATATTTTATTGCTTTTTTATATTTTATTAGGAATGTCGTATGTATCGTGAGAGTAGACAGCTGGAGACTTTCGACTTATGCGCGTGATCCGTGACCAGAAATGTGTGTGGGCTGCCTTGAGCACTTTCTGAAAATGCGAAAAGTGCTTTCGGCAGCATTTCAGCTACTGATAATTCTACATCTAGTAGTATTTTGGTATTGATTTATGAAAAGTTTTCATTTTTAATCATGGATAAAGGAGACTACAGCTTCATCTCATGACAAGACACTGCAAGAAATTGATTGCAAATATTGTAAATGATTATTTGGTTTATTTAGTTGTAAAAAATTGTTTTGGGATGAAATATTTAATTTGAAATCCTTTTAAAACATTCTTTTATAAACGCAACATTAAAATCCTAAGAATATCCTACGAACAAAAACAATTTATAAGTTAAATAATAAGAGCTGTTGTGTGTGATGAGAGCATTCTTAGTAAATGGATTTTCGTAAGATTGATGAAATTTTGATTGGCTATGTACTTTGATGTGCATCATCCATGCAAAACGCGTTCCAGTAATTTTGCGCAATCCTACCTTACGTAGCTTGCTTAAGTCGTAATGCGGAGATGTAAACCTGCATCTGATTTAATGTTCTACAAAACAATAGCAATTGATTCTCCTTGACTTCATTAGTCACAGTTTCTATTCCTTTCTAATCGTTTACTCGAATGAGAAGCTGTTATAATGAATCTTTGAAACTGCAAACCGTGGCTAATTTCTATCATTCTTGGGTCTGTAACAACTGGGAGAAAGTATGAATTCATACCCTTTTTTAACTAAATGAAGTTCTGTTAGTGTCTGGAAGCTACAACTCTTTCTTCATGTGCAAGATGGGAACACCGTACGTAATGAGAATGATTTTACCTGACAAGTATTGCCTTATTAGGAACATCTTACGTAACTCGTCTTCTGTTCAGGCTGCATCTTCGCTTGTGCGATGTCTTATTGCTTAACTTCAGATGTTCAGAATTTTCTAGATCTATTTTTTCTTCCTGCAAAACCGGTTTGAAATTCTTGATCCGAGATAATGAACTTTGCGCGTGATATTTCGTTGTTCTGCGCTCACTACGTAGATTTATAAAAGTCTCGTATATTTATAAATTCGTTTATATTTAAAATGTCATGTATCACATTATTGAAAATTATAAAGTTCCCTGAGAGATGCAATAAGATAAACAATTTCATAAGACTTCAAATATATTAAAATTTGTCACAACTTAATTCTATTTCAGTAAAAATGTAACATATATGAATTACGTTATGCAATTTCTATGAAAGCTCCCTTAACGTCAGAAAAATAAGGGAAGTCGTAATGTATTTTTATTAGAGAAAGTTATATCTTATATTTAGTCGAAATAATGTACACGAAATAATTTAATTTCTTACGTGAATGCAATATATTAAATATATTTCTGTCTTAAAAACTGACATTTCCCGGAATTAGTATGCAATTTATCATGCAATTGTGTTTGGAAAGTCACGTTTTGACTCGAATGTTGTATACCCGGCAAACATCAATGCATAATGGGATGCCTCCAAATCAGGGGCAAATCTTACATGTGTGTTTGGAGAGGTTCAGCCAAGGCCACCTACCCTGCCGCAGGTGCCTTTTGTTTGCCTCTATGCTAGTCAAATAGGATCAAAATTAAATTACGATCAAGGTTATTTTAAATCATATTCCTCATAAAAATTATTATTAATAAAATAAATCAAAACCGACAGGCATAATATAATATTAAATGCAATTTTAATGTACACAATCGAACGAAACGTTTACTATAACGATTCTTAATGATTAATTAAGTGATAATAAGTGATAATGGGAGTAGAAAATAGAATATTCTTCAATGAATGTAGAATGATAGCTATTATTCACGAGTTGGTGTTTACGAGACGAGCGACGTAGGAGCGAGTGTTGGAATTTCTACGAGTGAATTATAGCCATTATGTACGAGTAGAAGACTACACTTTCTCTACGACCTTGCAATATTCAGAATACATTTTGAACATATTTTGTTTTATTTGAGTTTCTTTTAAGAAGAGCATGTACATTTAGAGTAAGCTTTTAGTTTTCCTTCATTGTCTATGTACAATGTTCTTCTTAACATTCCGTCAATTTTCCATAAAGTAATGGGTTTATACTTTTAAAAGTTTTGTAAAGTAAGCCTAGAAAACGTTCTTGCCAAACGAATTCAGCCTATTACTTTTTCTTCACACCATAAATTTTGTACATGAGTGTTCATTTAATTTTTCTAATAATAATTGTAGAGGTGTAGAATTCGCTATTTCTTGAATTTCAGGTGGGGTACGAATTTTATTGTCCCTGTCGATGGCTTCAGGATTCATTTTAAGTTGAACGATCAATGCAAAATGTAACGAGAAATACGAGTACAACAATCCTTAGATACATAAAACTGCTAAATCATTCGCTTGTCTACGGCTGTTCGAAGGAAGCGCGAATTGCTAAGAAAATGCAAATCTCCCCTTGGATTCCGAAAAATCTAGGAATGTGATTGGTCGACAGGCCGTGAATTCCGAACTGGAGTCCATGGGGTGTGTGATCGATTTCGCTCGCTGATTAAATATACAGTAGAAATACGTTTATTATGAAATGGTCATAGAGGAACTTCTTTACTGTCCAGATAGTCGCCTGTTGAGTCCGAGTGTCTCATGTGAGTGTCTCGTCGCTGTTGCAGCGCCGCCGGCCGAAGGCAAGCGCCGGCACTCGTGGACCAGCGACGCGGACTTCCAACTGCTGACGCCGCCGCCGCGCGCGCTGGGCCGCGACCGGGCCGGCGCCGCCGCCCACGCCGCCCCGGAGCCCTGCGGCTCCGACAGCGACGACTCGGCAGAAGCCGGCGACTCGGGCGTGGAGGACGCGCACTCGCAGTCGCACGCGCTCAGCACCTGGTACCTCGACGACTTGGTGAGTTCAACCAGGAGGTCGGTTGCATTGAAGGTCAATCCCTTATCGGCGCTCCTAATACAAGCGTCTTGATACAAATACGCGCCTAGTGTAATTTTTACTAACTTTAATTTCTAGTTCAGCACTTGGTAGCTAATCAACTTGGTGAGTTACTTTTTGACAAAACCAATAGGTCAGAAACATTGAAAGTCAATCCCTTATCGGCGCTCGTAATACAAGTCTTTTGATACAAATACGCGCCTAGTGTAATTTTTACTAACTGCAATTTCGAGTTCAGAACTTGGTAGTTAATCAACTTTGTGAGTTACTTTTTGACAAAACCAATAGGTCGGTAACATTGAAAGTCAATCCCTTATCGGCGCTCCTAATACAAGCATTTTGATACAAATACGCGCCTAATGTAATTTTTCTTAACTTCAATTTCGCCGCCCGAGATCAGAACGTAGTAGCTAATCGACTTGGTGAGTAATATTACTAGATCAGTAACTTTGAAAATCGTCCCCACTTGTAATACAAGTCAGTTTGTCGCAAATATGCAGCTCGTGTAATTATCTACAATTTTAATCGTGTAATTTCGTTTTACTTTCCACCGTGTTATGTCTAATTGAATCCGATTATTCTTTCGCAAAGGCCTGTCCAGATGTAACACACTTAAGTGTACGGTACACATAAACTTAAAGTTGGTTCGTCAACAGTGAAAACATTGTGATGACGTTGCTTACTCCTCCTTGAGTTAGGATATTTCCACCCACTCAGCGTGTAAAACAATACCAGAACAGTGCCACTGTAATTTCATGTCTCCTTAATGTCTCCCTGCCTCGCACAGTATTTGATTTACCCCTACTGTCCGAGGGCGTTTTCTAGCACGTGCGAGGAATACAACTCCATCCCTAACTCAGCAACTTCGGATAAGCATAGACGCCAGTCGCTTGAAGGAATTAATAATAATAATAATATTGTTATAATTAATAATATAATTATGATTAATTATAATAATATAATTTTAATAATTATAATTCTCCTTGTTAAATTTCTGTTGCGTTCAGTAGTTTCGAAAACAGGCGGAGGGAGGGAAGGAATGTACTATCTAGTACGCGCCTCGTGGAATTTCCCTCACACTTACTGGTGATTTCGCGGGGGTGGGGCGGATCGTCAGTTACACATCTTCCTCTTTTGAATGTAATTACCAAATAAAATATTTATTTTGGTGTTTAAGAGAGAATGGATAACCTTTTTCTTTCTTTCTTTTCTTTTTTGTAGCAGTGAGGAAACTGACTTTGAAAGAGATCTTAGCTAAAACGACTCTAAAAAGACCGAAATCACTGTGAATATGAACTCTCAACCTTTCCTCCTCTCGTGTAATAATTGCTCTTAGCTCACATCGCTTCTGAGGTCAGAAGAGAAAACGTCTTTTAACAGAGCCCTGCAGCGAGGGAAGTGTTCATTTCTTGAAGTGCCATCTACAATCAATTTCAATTAAATGTGGGCCTTATTGGGCTATTTTCTTCGCTCACGCATGAGTCATGTCACATTTCGGCAAGGGCCACAGCGTAGGCCGAGACTGACGAATGGGGGATGGCGGATTTGCTCTCATTTCCTGCCCGTGTTCTTACGGTCAGTTGGTGGAAGCACGAGCGAATGGGTACCACCGCGAAACGAACCGATATCTCTCTCCCCCTTCCCTCTCCCATCTCTGCCTACTCACTTTCCCCTCCCTCACCTATCCCCAAGTCGTGGAATGTCATCTAATGTGTGGTATTCAAGTAGTTGTTGCCATTGACTTCTCCTCTAAAGGAACGTCAATGAGCTTCTACTGAATACCTTCCTGATATATCGACGCCTTACTAAGCTGCGAGGCCCCCAACGCTGTGGTTTACGTCTACGCGAAAGATTTCACCTCAGCGATTTAGAAACGCAGCTCAATCGGGTAACCGAATCCACAACACAGAGAGGGGAGAGGGCCAACCCCATTTCGTGCTGTCTTTAGTTCCGCCTTCGTTTGACACCCCTGGCCCGCCCCGCGCCCTGGAGCCGCGCACGTCCCGCACGCGGATGCGGAGGAGCCCCTGCGCGGGCCGACCGACCCGCTGATCCCCATCGCACGGAACAGACAGGTTTTTCGGCTTCTTACACAATGCAGCAGCCCCGTCATTAGGAGCTGCAATTATAGACGCACGCCGCTTAACAAGTTCGTTTGCCCGCGTGCGCGATCCAGATGCAGGTGCCCGATATCGACTCCATCTGCGGGGGGAGAACATAATGAATTACGCTTTTCCCAAGGAAATTGCTCGGCCGCAGACCTTTGGATTAAACCAACCGGTCACGATACAATTTCTGTAGACGCGGGAAATAACGTGTTGCTTTTTTCCTCGCGGTCAAGCAGCTACGGAAACGCCCGTTTCAATCAGAAGCGGCTGAAGCACGTGTGGCGTCATATCAGTCGCCTTGTACAAACGTGACAAAATATTAGCCATGTGCATTTCGTGTACATGAAATGCACGAGGAAGTAGTTTGCGACAGCGGGCAGCGCTGGCGGGAAGGGGCGTCGGGCTGAACAATGGCAAACCT